CACCTTTATGTAAAAAAATGCAAGCTTGGCATGGGGGCACACACCTGAATCCCCAGTACTACAGGCCAAGGTAGGGGGATGGTGCATTGGAGACAAATCTACAGACACACAGTGAGACTGCCCCCCGCCCCGCCCCCCGTAAGATGGAAAAATAAAAATAACTGCATTTAGATTCATGCTAAATGAACTTCAGTGCTCTTACCATCAAAATAAAAATGCAATTGCCAGCTTTTATTCTAGTTATGTTTCACAGCAGGGGCACCCTAGTCAGAGATCATTATGGGTGCCATGTACTTCTAATCAAGCAAGCCAAACACTTAGGGCCTGTGTCTTTTTGTAAACTTATATCTACATCCTTGTCAAAGAGCACTCTTAGAGTATTTGCCATTCATTTCATTAGCTCATGAATTTCATTGTATTTGTGCTTTGCCTGCATATGTATGTATGAGGGTGTCAGATCCCCTAGAACTGGAGTTGTGAGCTTCCATGTGGGTGCTGTGAATTGATGGGTCCTTTGGAAGAACAGCCAGTGCTTTTTGTTTTGTTTTGTTTTGTTTTTGTTTTCAAGACAGGGTTTCCCTGTGTAGCTTTGGAGCCTATCCTGGCACTCGCTCTGGAGACCAGGCTGGCCTCGAATTCACAGAGATCCGCCTGCCTCTGCCTCCTGAGTGCTGGGAGTAAAGGCGTGCAACACCAACGCCCGGCACAGCCAGTGCTCTTAATCGATGAGCCCTCTCTCCAGTCCATGAATTTTATTCTTTCAGAAGTATATACTGGCCAAGTGGTGGTATCAGACAGATGCCTTTAATCCCAGTATTTGGCAAGCAGATTTCTATGAGTTCAAGGCCAGCCTGGTCTACACAGTGAGTTCCAGAATAGCCAGGACTACACAAAGAAACCCTGTCTCAAAAACAATTAGAGTATATGCTGAGTGCCTATTATGTGCAGGCAATTTTTCTAGGCACTGAGGATAAAAAGATGCATAAAGAATCTGGGGGAAGAGGGAAGCAGGTAGATTCGGGTGTTTCAGGTTAACACTGGCTTCAGACCAAGTTTCAAACAAGCCTGGGCTCTATAGTGAGAACTTTTCAAGATACAGGTGGCAGAGGTGCAGATTTCCACCACCCAAACCATAAGTTTTAAATCTGTGGAGTGCTGTACAGTAGAGTCCAGTGGGAGTCAAGCATTGCAGCCTATTTTCTGATGCCACGTTTTCAAAAAAGTAAAATTAAACAGGCAAGGAACATAAAAATATATTTTATTTAGCCCAACATATCAAAATCATTTCGGCAGATAATTGGAGTATATGCACTATTATTATTATTAATAAGCTATTTTACACTCTTTGGGGAAGGGTTGCAATCTTGTCAGTGTCCACTGTTCATTTACAGCATCAGACTGGTCACATTTCTAGTGCTCAACAACCACACATATGGCTAGTGATGAAAGGATAGACAGCACAGAGCAAAAGGAAGTCGAGCACAGTTTAGATTCTCCAGTCAAAATGTTTGTTCTTCCTCATTGGAGGCCTTTAACTTCCCAAGCCCTTTTCGAGACAGGGTTTCTCTGCAGCTTTGGAGGCTGTCCTGGAACTAGCTCTTGTAGACCGGGGTGGTCTAGCACTCACAGAGATCCACCTGCTTTTGCCTCCCGAGTGTCTGTCGGGATTAAAGGCATGCGCCACCACTGCCGGGCATGCCCTTCAGATTCTCAAACCCAGGTTTATCCTGCCACAAGTTAAAAGAAGCCTAGAGTCTCATTCCAAACACGGATCTAGCTGGCCTCAGTGCACCACTCTTCCTTTCACTCCAGAGAGCCTCAGCTCTCATTCTCCAGTTCTGTAAATGGCCTTAGTGTCTATCTGCTCACTCTGGTCATCTTTATTTAATCAACTGATAACTGAGCATCTCACAAAGGTGATGTTAAAGTGTAAAATATTTCAGACATGCACCTTCCTCTCCACTACAAGGCCACTTTGACATAATGGGTTCTCTTGCTTTAGCATCTCCCCTGATCAGTGTCAACTGTAGCTACTATTCCCTAGGTCCTTCATAGCGTTCTTTCTCTACGTAATAAAGGCTAAACTCTATCACACAAAATAGAACTTCGCTCCAAGTTCTGCCCTTTCTTTACCTAACAACGCCCAATTGTTTGATCTTCCCAGACTGAACAAGATCACTTACCTTCTGGCCTGGATACTTTTATTTTTGTAAAGTTAGCCACCTCACAATCACAAAGCCGACTTGAGGTTTAGAAGCAGTAGTACACTAAATGACATACAATCGGGGCCACTGTCCCCGTCGTTCCTTCACAGTTCCTAATTGCCTTTTTAGTTAAAGTAGCCTCTTTTTAATTCAGCAAAACTCAGGCGATCAGGAATAGAAAATACAGGTGGAACGACTCGAACCTTCGTCCCTGGGCTCACTGTAATAAAATTTTCCATTACTATCTTCAATATCTAAGAATCTGAGACATTCTAGGAAGTTCTGTTCCGCAGCGCCCCAAGCTGCCACTGAACCCCACAACTCCTCAGTTCAAACCCTGCAGACGGGAACCGAACAGCGACACAAGCAGCGGCCGGTGGGGGCGGGGCCCGAAGGCGCAGGCCCGGCCCGGCCCGGCGTCTGCGCCTGCGCCGCGCTGCCTCTCGCTCAAGGACCCGTATTTAAAGAGACAGGCTTTCTA